CTCACAAGAGCAGAGTAAAGGGGCAGAATCACCTCCCTCGACCTGCTGGCCACAGTTCTCTTGATGCAGCCCAGGGTACGGTTGGCTTTCTAGGCTGCAAGCTCACATTGCCGGCTCAATGGCAAAAGGCTTCTCTGACAGGGGGTAAAACAATCTTTGCTGATTGTTTTGCTGAGTTACCTGGCGCCTTCCTTTTCTGTTACTGCCTGTGCCTAAGGGTAGACCACCACCTAAACCCAACGGCGATTCTTGCTCTGCTTGAGAAGGTCAGCAGTGAAGTAGTTCCCCTTCATTCCAGTAAATAAAGCACATGGGTGGAGGAGAGCCACAGGAGACCCTGCAGCAGTTGCCTGGTCTGTCACTTCATCTCTTCTTAGCTGTGATAACCAGCAACGTGCGCCGTTTCTCAGACACCTCTGGTGCAAACTCTGCCAAGGAACAGGAACTGCTGCCCTTAAAGCAGGTGTGTGTGCAGGCACATCTTCTCTCTTGGCACTCAAAGGCGTCTGGGTTGGGGTTTGTTTTTTCAGGATTCTTCAAGGGACATTCGGGAGGCGCTTCATGAGCTGTTGTGTTGCACCAACGTCTCGACGAAAGAAGGCATCCATCTTGCGCTGGTGGAGCTGCTGAAGAACCTGACCAAGTATCCCACAGACAGAGAATCCATATGGAAGTGAGTGTGTTCGGTGTCCTTGTGTGTCCACTTGTTTTCCTGTTCGTTCTAGTAATAGAGGCATTAGGCAAATACTCAGCTAGGTAAGGAGGTAATGGGTATTGCAGGTATACAGTCCTGCTATTCGGTAAATATTTGGATTAGTGGCTGTACTAAGCATTGTGCATATTCATGACTGACCTAGAAACTCTGTATTGTTCTTGCTTGTCGACACTTGTACTGGGAATGCAGAACTGATGACCACTCCTGGAAACAGCCCTCTATCACAAGCACTCAAAGCATTCCCAGAAAAGATTAATTCAACCTTTAAAACCTCATCTCTTCTATGCAAACTCAAGTTTTGTGCTTGCTCGACACTGCGTTAAATCATAATATTTACCAGCAGTTGCTTAGATCAGTTGTGACAAGTGGATTGGCTGCGTGGCGTTGTGCTGTTGGAGGGACTTTTTCTGCCTGAGCGAAACCAAGGAATGTTTGTGTGGGGTTTTTTTGGTTGTTTAATGGGAGCAGCAAAGGAAGCGATGCTCCAGCGCACATCGTTGGAGATGGAATTCTTGGGTATTTTTGGAAACACTTCTGTTAGTCTGCTTTGTCTTCCAGTGTAGTCTTGTGCTGTTTTTGGAGCTGGGGTTTTTGGGTTTTGTTGGGTTTCTGCCTCCTTGCTCCGTTATTTCTGAAGAAAAATGCACTCATTTGTTAGCATTTAATATGAAAGCTTTTCTCGAGTTGCATAGCTCCAGGTGTTAGGTATTTCTCGGACAGTTTAAATAAACAATTTTTATTACAGCGTGCTTTTTCAAGCTGCCCATTCGGTTTCCTTGGATCCTATCAAAAGTTAATGGAGATGCTCAGCCGTGAAGAGACAGTAGGCTTGGACAGTAGGATTGTGATGCTAACCAGCGCCTCAAAATGCTGCTGCAACATAAAGTAATAATGCTTTAAAATGGTGTATTTTGCAATGTACATGTTTACTAAGAAATATTTCAACCTGTGTATCTTCAGATGCTTGAAGTTCTTGGGAAGCAGGCACCCCACTTTGGTGCTTCCGTTAGTCCCAGAGCTGCTGAGCACGCATCCGTTCTTTGACACTCCAGAACCAGACATGGATGACCCGGCCTGTATCTTTTTAATGAAGCCAGTTGATCATTTTGACTGTAATAGATTTTTCTTCATGTTTTCCTGATGCTCACAATTGTTAAACCATTTCAGACTGTAGCAGAAAATCCTGTAGCTATTTCTGAATCCCTTCACCACTTAGTTCTATTACTTGGCGAGTGGTGGAATAACTGTTATCTGGAACCGTCTTCGTAATACCGACGTGCTGTAATTGGCCTTTTTTATGCTGTGATGAATAATCTGTTTATCAAACAATTTGCCAAGGATTAGGCTTTGCAGATGAGTCCTTTGATGTGAAAACATTTATCTGGTTTGCACTAATTTTGAAGACGCTTTAGCTTTGAAATAAGAAGAGTGGTTTTTCTTGTCTGTTTTCTTTTTTGGTAAAACTTCTGCTGTCCTCACTGTTTTCCAGTGGATAGAACAATACCATCTCTTAGTGCCGCAGTGGCTGAATGCCCATAATATTGCAAGTTTTTGTCATCTTTTTGAAATAACTGAAAATCAGAAATCCTGCTATTAATGTTAGCTCTTCTAGTGCTTATAATACAAACTATTATTGTTATACCAGTATCCTTAACAATAGGAGATGACTTGGAAATGCGAAATACCGTTTTTTTACTGTCCATTCTCCTTGCTTCCCTTCTCTGCGATTGCAGAACATAATGTTATTTCTGATGCATGCTGAGAGATGGTAGCCTGGAACAGCTCTCTTCCTTTGTGCAGCTACTCCTTATTTCTCTCACCAGTCACAGGCCATCAGCTGGAGCTTCTATACAGAGTGAGTAAATAAATACCTTCTGAGAACTGAAAAGGGCTAGAATCGGGCGGAGAGAAAGAGTAATCCCTGATCAGATACCTGGGTAATAATTTGAGTAGATTTGTCCTATCAGTTGAGGATTGATGGAACATTGAGAGGGAAAAAGCTGTTATTTAGCTCTGTGCACCTTCCTGCTCTGACCCAAAGAGCAGTATTTTAGAGGATGCTCCGGAGGTAACTCGACACCAGATTTTACAGAGATACATTATGTGGAGACAGGCCTGGGAGCCAGAAACTAGACCCAAATGGTATGTTTCTGGTGTCAGGTGTTAATGAGAAACATGGTTTTGTCTGATTCAAAGCGCTTAACGAATTTAAATCAGGATAGTTGAATAGCTTCAGCTGGGAATTTGGAAAGGATTTTGGGCAAAGAGGAGAAATGGAGAAGTTGGTTTGTCAAGCGGAAGCCTTAATGCTTGACAGCCCATGGCTGCAGAAGATTTTTCGGGAGGTGAGAGATGTGGGTTCAGTCCCTTCTGTGGCTGAGCCTGCTCCTTCCCCGTGCAGGCGAGTGCCCAGACGATCGTACGCTTCGCACTGGGATCCTTTCACGCTCTCCTGTTAGAGACCTTATGCCTGAGGTCAGCCCCGTTACAGGTGGGCACCACAGCCTTTGGGCTAACTGATTAAAGCCTTTGGCTGCCCTCAGTATTTCTCGGGCTCTCAGACTGTGGAAATGATTTTTCCTGTACCAGACTCACCTTCCCGCGTTTGATTCTTTGGTTTGTTTTAAGCCTGTGCAAGAGGGATGTGTTTCAGGGACTAGCATCACAGGAGATCAGCAATTTTCAAAGGCTCGGAGCTAAACGTTTAATTTTAGATGGGGTTTGGGTACCAAACTGGTAAGCACTGTGCAAGCTTTGAGGAAGGGTGAAGCTCCATCTAATGAGCATGTTCTGCATTTATAATCCCTGGCTCCTATCCTTTGTGTCGCCTCTGAGCAGTCTCGCGTTGGCAGTAGCATCCTCCCTCCAATATGGCCCATCCTGTAATGTTTGCGCTTTGTAGTTTGTGTTTTTCTGCTCCATCTCCAGCAAAGAAAGGGTCGTTGAGTTGTTGTTGGTTTAACTTGCCATCCCCACAGAGCTCTTCTTGTTCTTTCCTTTTCTTTAACAATCCATTTCAATAGACATTGCTGTTCTGGTTCTGATTTTTAACGCTGCTAAAAGCTGCCCAACGATGCCGGCCCTGTTCTCTGATCATACGTTCAGACATTACGCCTACCTTCGGGACAGCCTCTCTCATCTGGTCCCTCCGTTAAGGGTAAGTTGAACCACTTGGGTCTGCGCTTTGCCACTCTGTTACGAGCATTGCTGGTCTCTTCCATGTCTGTCTGTGCGTAAGGCTTCGATCCTAAAAAATTTTTCTCCCAAGCAAATGAATATTGAAATGTATGTTAAGTAAGGAGAGCCAAATACTAAATCGTTACAATATGGATTTTGTAATATTTTGGGGAGAATAATGATGTTATTGCTCTAAAATGAGACTGGCATGTGGCTTGCTGGTTAGGAAGGAATACTGGGAGGGCAGGACTCCTGGGAGCTTTCTGCAGCCCTGACTGTGTGGGCAAGGGGAGCTTAGCCTTTGTAGATCTTCCACCATTTGACTTCTGTCCTACCTGTGTCGTTTACTCATGGGTGAGATGTGTTCCCTGCTGCTTTAAAGTGCGTTTTTCCTGTTTGGAAGTACAGGTGGGACTGAAGTTGGTCGTAAGTCTTACTACAGCGCGTAAAAGGAATTGCGGTTTGTGTGGTCTTGGACTTCCCTTGACTTCATGGCGTCATAGTTAGTAGATGAGGAAGATGTTTCCCTCAAAGGGATGTTGAAGCTTAACTTGAAGATGTCTAGCTGCCAGGGGATTATGAAATGGAGAGTATTAACTAATGAAGATATAAGATGCAGACTTGAAATCTGTGATAGAAATTTTGAATTTGAGAAATAAATCTGAGCACTCATTCGGTAGCTGTTAAATAGTGCAGCAGCATTTTGCGGTGTGTTACGTGGGTGAGACTCCTCGGTATACATGTGTTTCTTCTCGCTCAGTTGCCAGGTAGAAAGCTGGTGTCCTCCCCTGTCTCTCCCAGCGTTACACCACATGAAGATCCCTCCCAGCAGTTCTTGCATCAGAGCCTGGAGAGGGTTTACAACCTTCAGCACCTCGACCCGCAGGGCATACAGGAGCTGCTGGAATTTACCATACGGTAAGGCTGCGACTTGACCTGTTTGTGGGAAGATTGGTTAGGATTCCCGATTTCTCTGAAGCGGGTGCTTTGCTTCTGAATGTCAGTGTTGCAGATGACACCAAGCTGGGTGGGAGTGTTGATCTGCTCGAGGGTATGAAGGCTCTGCAGAGGGATCTGGACAGGCTGGATCGATGGGCCAAGGCCAAGTGTATGAGGTTCAACAAGGCCAAATGCCAGGCCCTGTGCTTTGGTCACAACAACCCCACGCAACGCTACAGGCTTGGGGAGGAGTGGCTGGAAAGCTGCCTGGCGGAAAAGGACCTTGGGGTGCTGTTTGACAGCCGGCTGAACATGAGCCAGCAGTGTGCCCAGGTGGCCAAGACAGCCAAGGGCATCCTGGCTTGGATCAGGAA